TTTCCTACAGCACTACGAATTGCTAGTCGATTCACATAGGCTGCAGCTAATCGATACTTCGTCAAACAGCAAATTCATGGGCTTTCGAGCTCAAAAAATGCGCGAACCGCATCACAGGTGTATTTCATTCGCGTGATGACGTCTTTCACTTTTTACTCGAAAATTTCCCCCAGCTAACTAAACCACCAAAGGAGATCCTATCGGTGACTCACGATGTGGTACACCATATCGTCACCCGCGGACCACCAGTCACGGCAAGTCCTCACCAGCTGGCACCGGACAAATTAGCTCCCGCTAAACGTGAGTTTGACAATTTACTAGCTACTGGTGTTATTCGTCCTTGGGTCTCATCACTCCATATTGTTAACAAAAAGGATGGGATTAGTTGGCGACCATGTTGCGACTAACGAGTATTAAACGTAGCAACACGTTCCGATAGCTATCCCATCCCCCACATACACGACATCATGGCATCACTCAAGAGCAAACTATTTATTCTAAGACTGATCTGGTATCAGTCTGGTATCGTCAGATCCCAGTCTCTCTTGAGGATATTAAGAAAACTGCTGTCACGACTCCTTTCGGTTTGTTTGAGTTCCTACGAATGCCATTTGGATTACGGAATGCTGCTCAAACTTTCCAAAAGTTTATCGACAGCATACCACGAGACTTCGATTTTTTCACATCAGTATTGATGACCTGCTAATCGCATCATCAAACGTAGATGAACATTATCACTCTTAGGACAAGTGTGAACTGGGCAAGGTGGAAATAAAATTCTTGGGTCACATTATCAAGCATGAGGGTATTCTACCTTGTGAAGATAAAGTACGTACAACCATGAAGTACACTGTACCGTCCTTACTCAAGGAACTGAAGGCCCTTCTCGGTTTGGTTAACTTCTACCGACATTTCATTCCTCGCGCAGCAGAACAGTAACGGCCATTAACTGACTGCATTTTCAGAGAACAAAAACGTTGTAGCTCCAGAAACGCTCTTCGCTCATCCTGAACCATCAGCCACACTTAGTATAGTGGTTGATGCATCAGATTTTGCTATAGGAGCCGTTATACAACAGAACATCTATGGAAGTTGGCAACCTTTCGAATCGTTCTCACGACGCTCCACTCCCACGGAGACGAGATATAGCGCTTTTGGTCGCGAACTGCTAGCAGCCTACTGTACCATCAAACATTTCCAGCACGCAGTAGAAGGTAGTAACTTGATCCTTTTCACCGACCGTAAGCCTCTAACGTATGCTCTGCATACCAAGTCTGAACGCTACTCACCACGAGAGTGCAGACATATGGACTACATCTCTCAGTTCACGACAGACCTTCGTCATTTTAAAGGCGAGCCAAACTATGTTGCCGATGCACTGTCACGTATTCAAGTGAATGCAGTTACTTTACCGGTGCTTGATCTTCCTGCTATGGCCGTTGCCAAAGCAAATGATCCCTCCTGTACAAAAGCACAGCAATCTACATCCCTTCAGTGCTCCTAGATACTAGCCCAGGAACTATTATTTGTGATACTTCTACTGGTCTACCCAGCCCATCGTACCCTCTGCTTATCGTTGTCTCGTCTTCGATGCTCTTCATGCATTGGCTCATCCAGGTATCTCAGCCACATCAAGTCTCATTGCTACATGATACGTCTGGTCGTCCATGGATAAAGATGTTCGTTTGTGGGTAAAGCAATGCTTACAGTGTCAACAATCAAAAGTGCACAAGCACATAGCAGCCTCGATCGGCACATTTGCTACGCCTGATGCCCGATTCGCTCACGTTCATATTGACATTGTAGGACCATTGCCACCATCGTATGGGTATGATCACATACGCACGTGTATCGATGGCTTCAAAAGATGGCCCGAAGCTATTCCCATCACTTCAATTACGGCGTAAACAGTTGCTCACCGCTTCGTTGAACGATGGATAGCTCTGTATGGTTGTCTCTCGACTATCACAACTAACTGAGGACAACAATTCCAGTCCGACCTATTCTGGCTGCTTAGTACGGAGTGCATACGCACCACCGCCTACCACCCAGCTTCAAATTGTTTAGTTGAACGGTTTCATCGCCAACTTAAAGGTGCTCTTCAAGCACACGAAAACATTCTTTGGTACGAAACCTATTCGGTATCAGAACAAGCTTAAATGCAGATATCTAATGTTCCGCCGCTGAACTGGTATACGGCACGACATTGCGTCTGCTTGGGGAATTTTTTACACCACGCGGCAGTAATAACTTTAATAAATCAGACTGCGTCTAACGATTGTCTGACTACATGCGAACACTGCCTCCGTCGTCAACTCGAATACAACATCGAAAGTTAGCCCTCCCTCGAGAGTTATCTACCTGTTTTCAAGTCTTCATATGAGTAGATTCGGTACGAAAACCTTTCCAACAGCCTCTCGAAGAACCTTTTCGCGTGATTTCTCGTCATGAAAAGACCTTCACGGTTGATCGACATGGCCGCGTCGAGATAGTCAGCACTGATTGTCTTAAGTCAGCATGTCGATGACAGTGCCCTACCTGCTAATCTGAGACCCAGTGCTAGACCCATCAAACCTACTAGCGGGATCCCTACATCACCTTCGGACCCAATGCTATATACATCAGGGACCTCATTTATACGTCCCAGTCAACAGCAAGTGTCATCTGCACTATCTACGAATGAGACCTCCGTTGCACATCCAGATCAGCAGACCACGCTGCCTTTGACTTCGGATGAGATTGCAGACTCACGAGGCTAACGTCTCAGGTTCTGGTTGCCGCGTACGCCTACCTGTACGTTTTCGCAACTAATCACCCAATCAACAACGGATACCGTTTAGGACCTTATCCTCATAATACATGAATGCTACACCTTTCTCTTTTTCTTTGATTTTTTTATCCTGAGCCCATGTCTACGACCATTGTCCTGCTGGGTGTCGTAGAATATACTTTATACGCTTGCCAAGACTTCTGTTTTACAGTTTGGGATTGAAGGTGGCCTACCTGGACGCTGGTAATTATCTCGTTCGCGTTTATCGACTAAGGTGAACTCGTAATAGCTTCAAGCGTACCTAGTGACGAACATAATAATAATGAGATAAAGAAACAACTGTAAACAGTTTATTTTCGCCTTCTAATGATTATAGATGCACGTTTCCCAAATATTATGTTATCGTTTGCAGAGAATAAACATTACTGAATAATACCAGAAATCTAGGTCTGTTCATTATCTCGGCTTCCTAATCTATGTGAAACACTATTTCTACACGCTATAGCGGTGATTTATATAAATTATCAATTCAAATTGTCAGGTTCTTTCACGTTTGTTGTCCTTATTTTCTCCCCACTCATATTGTTTTTTGTGTTTTGATTTATATTACTTGTTTATATACAGTAAGAAGTTTTTTCTTTATTAATTTACAAGCGTGTAACTCCAATTATACTGTTTTGTGATATGCTATAAAAACAGCCTTTATTGCATTTGTTATAATTACTTTCTCTCAACTTTTGTAACGGCTGTTTCCTGTTTTATAAGTCCCGTGAATTTTATTCAAATGGAATAAGTTCCGCATATACTAGCTGTTGGTTACTTTTCAGTTGTTGATAAATTATTGTTAACATTAGACACTTATCAGCTGTTAGTTACATTACCGTAGGTTGTAATTATTCTTTAATTTTTTGTTACAGGAAGCCCTATTCTTTATAGAAATCCAGATGCGCTAATCGCCATAGACACATCGCGAGTTGAGGTTTGTACCCAATATATGCTTATTCATGAATGAAAGAACCGTTTTCTAGACAAATCGATTTCACGCATGTCTCAATCGTGTTGTTAGGCAGTTCGATAGACTTAACATAAATCAAAGTTTACATTTCAATGCTCAGAGTAGAACAAAGTGCTGAATACTTATCCTTTGCTCAAATAAACTTGAAAAGCAGAATCTAATGATTTTTACTCGTAATTATTAGATTGTAATTGTAGGTAAACAGAATCACGGTATAGAAGTTTTTCGGTTAAGATAACAATTAATGTTACACTCTTAACTCTTAAATGTTGAATGAGTTTTATCAGTTCTTACTACTAGATATAAGATTACTTTTCCTTTAGTCGTTGTTTTTATTCACTATTATGGGTTAAGATTTGTCCTTATGATTACATTTTATGCACGTTTTTCACTTATTATGCAAATCATTTTTGTATACAACTGACAACTACCTTATGAGATAAAATTATAATATCTGTTCGCCTAAAACCATTTTAGTAAATACTTGTCAACAGAGTAATATTTAAAGACTGCAGGTAACTGAACTTTTAGAATCCTTATATCTATTTTATGAAATGACTTTTAACCAGATACAATTGGTTTCATTTCAAGCCATAGGTAAAATAGAAAATTATTAATTTAGGAAGTTTGTGGAGATTTTATAATTTTCACAGTTTAAATCGCGAGGCTGAGTAGTCTGCTACGCAAGTCTAAAGGTCCTGGATTTGATTCTTGGATGAGAGGTCGTAGATGCTGGGGTATTCTGTACCAGGACAAAACGACAGTTCAGTGCTTCAACGTTTTCAATGGTGCTTTAGCTAAGATCAGCTCATTAACACTTTGAAAATCGAAAAAAGATTTAACATAACTAAGGTTGCTGTCACCTATTTATTAGTGTAATAAATGACAGAGTTAACAGTATGTGAATCTCTGTTTTTATTGATTCAAGGAAAATTTCTGAGGTTCAGCCGATTTTCGTTATAATAAACCACAGTAAGAGAAGCGGTTGTAAACTACTAGGGCCCAGATTCTTATGCTGTGGTAAGTGATGTTCGTTTCAAGGAAATTCTGTTTTTTGCTCAAACATTATATAAAACGAGCGACATACTACGAACTCTTGTTAAATTACTGCTTAATTAGAATATAATCTTCACCGTAATAACAGCGGTTATAACTCAGTAGAAAGTGGTTCGTTTAAAAACACAAAGAATAAACGAAAGAGAATGGAGAAAAACGCTCGTTTATTTGTTTTTTTTTTAAACAGACTGTTTACATTGAAAACGTACACCTGATTCGCTGATAAAAAATGCTGTTCATTCAATAATATTGATTAAAGCAGCACATTTCAGTTTATGAATGAATAGACTACTAATAGATGAAGCAGATGAGATTTTCGGTTATTTGAATATTTTTCATCGTTTTAGTTTCTATGTAATATGAAATATACATATGACATGTGTTATAACTTCTAATTTGAATCTGCATTATGATGCTTAAACAAGTTTATAAATTTGAATAATATAGTTACGACTCCCAAATAAATGAAAGTGTACAGCATTGTGTTTTCAGTCCATTGTATAAAATTGTCCCATGTAATCTCTGAAATGGATGCATGTTGTGTACAATTTAAATTTGATTCACATAATCGTACCTGAAGTGTGATGTAAAATTTAAACATACATAAACGCTTGTTTCATGCAAAATACTTCAAAGTATTTATTAGAAAACACCAAAACTACGTTTTTTGTTGTTAATCACCCATTCCACAGAAAAGCGTTTTCAGAAGGTTTATGTATAACTCACTAATCATTGTGCTTTAGCTTGGTTGAGAATAATCATGTACGAAAGAATGTAATGTAAAAAGTTAAAAGAACTACCTGTTCCAATTCACCTGCACAGTCCCCTTCGTTTTCAGATAAACAAAAGCGTATTCTTGTACTCTCTCCAGTAAATCCACAATCCGCTTCACATGATGTCCATTCTGACCACTCTGACCAGATAATTTTAGGTATATCACATTTTTCGCCGCCATACCCTTCATCACAATCACAGACACTGTTAGTAAGATCCTTAGAAAAAATTAATGATTTAACATTGAATTAAATAATCAAATGATAGTTTGAACACAATCAAAGACCTATGGCATCGGACAATTGAAGAGTTTAATGATAAATCAAAGTAAACTTCTTTTTTCTTCAGTCAGGTTAGCTCAACAAGTCTGCCATATATATATATTAGTATTCAGCTAGTGAAAATAAGCACTTCAGAAAGTGAGAAAGCCGATGTTCATTTGATTGATTTTAATGAGTTACATTCTACTATGATTAAAAACAAGACTTGTATGCCAGTATTGTGAATTGAGTTACATACTGATTATTGCTACTGGGACGACTGATTACTATCAGTGTAGAATGACTGCTACCTGTCATTTGTTGTAACAGATCGAAACTGCTATGTAAACGCAAGGAAGAAAGCAAGACTGTTTAAGACTACTGATTTGTTCAGTACTCATCAATAAAACTTGGAAGGGAGAACTGCTAACAGACTGATAGCATAGCTGCTATAGGTGGTCCTTGAGGACCAGTACTGGTTAACGTGTTTTTGGCATGTGTAAAATTCAGTCGAAAGACCAATTCAAAAGATATGTCTATATAAACAATACGTGGATGACATCACAGTCATAAGTGACAAAGGCAGAGGTATGAAGCTCTTGTTAAAATAACTCAGCACAATTCAAAAGCATATTTGTCCTACATGCGAAGCGAAGAAGGGATAAATAACAATCTTCCTTTTCTGAATGTACAAATTAGTAGGAGAGAAAATGGTCCCCGTCACGAGTTCTGTATTTAGAAAGCCGGTATTGACAGGGCTATGTCTTCGTTTTCACAGTATAAACGTAGATTAATAAAGGGCTTACGAAGTAGAACCGATAGCAGTTGCACTAGCGATACTATTGAGACACAAAAGATCTTGACTGAAACCTTGATGAATAAAGATTATTCATTGAACTTTATAAACCGTTGGAAGGGTGGTAATGTAATTAGACCTACTACGCTTTTGACACCGAAAAAGCGAACCTATATTATCCTTCTATCCAGAGGCAATTCAGAGAGTCTTATGCTGAAACAAAGGATTAATTCAGCGATGGATAAGACATTTGACACACCACTACCGAAAATTCAATCTATTTTTCACCGGGAACCTAAAAAGGATGTAAACGATAGGGTCACATACATGGCGTAGAACAACCATGATCTACAAGGGTGGCTGAGCATATAACTATATGGCTACAGAAACAAATGAATTCCAATAGTCAAATACGATCACACAATAGACAACTATCTGCATTTGTGTAGTTTAGTATCATTTTTGTTTCCGCGGACTTTCTGATTGCCTTTTAGAGGCCCGGAATCTGAATTGAACTTTTACGAACAAATGAATGTGCTATGAAAACGTGGATAACCCACTTTAAGTCTATTTAACAGGTACAATTAACTACACCTTGAGCCCATATAGGGTTACTTTCGGTCCCAAGCCCGGATAAAGGAGGAGGGTCGAGCATGAGGTTAGAGGACCCAGCACGCAGAAATTCCACTCGCTAAAATTACACTAACCAGAAAAATAATTCGCTGGTCGGCGGCCTATGCTCCATACATAAAAGTGACAGGTACAATTCTCACCACGGTAACCTTATGTAGTACATTTTATTTATAACGGAAAAATAAGGTTTAAAATCTACTCCTCATATAGAACAATGAACCTTGAGCAACAATTTTTTGTTGCAATAATAAAAGATTTTCAATACATAGTACTCTGTCATTAGTTAAAGTACTGAATTGTGTATTTCTACTAAAAGGCGTCAAGCAACAACAACGCTATGTAACTCACTATAGCATGCAGTAAAATGTGAAAATTATTTTTCCTCTTATTCGCATGAAAAACTTCTTGTTTCTTCCATTTTAGCAACAAATTATATATTCTATTGCAGCAAAAGATTCAATTATGATTGAGTTATTTGATGACAAGATGGATGGTTTTAATGACAAACGAAAAACAGTAAGCTGAAGTACTTACTATGATCACTGTTATGTTGAGTGATAAACTCTAAAAGTAATTATTTAAGCTTGTAACTTATGAATATTGATTACTATTTACTGTGATTGGACTAACAACCATGGCTACCAGGTTTGTTGAATGAGATGAGCAATGTTGGCTGCTTGTACATAACTAGAATTCAAAGCATTACTAAATTGCAAAGTTGAATTTTTAGACAAAAATATGGAAGTACTTAAAAAGGATTAGAGTAGTTAAAATACATCCATAAAATGATTCTCCACTCAGTGTTCCTTACAAGCGAACTGAAGTCTGCATGCTGTATATGATTTAATTAGAACAGCGAGTTTGATAAAATTGCCAGTTTCATCATCGTTGACTTCGAGTGGTCTGTGTTATCGTATGGCAAAAAAGTCAATATCTTAATTAATTTTAGGATCTATTATAAGATCCAATTTAATATACTCACCTTTCTATTGAAAGTGAAATTGCTTTGAAAAAATATGGAACAGTAGTTCTTGCAACTTTAGTTGACAAATGGTTACAGTGAGAGTTATCCAAATATTAGCTTTAATTCACTTGCTATCGAGGCTAAACATTTTGATGAAGTTGAAACCAACTACTCATTCTTTTAAATATATCTAGCGAACCAGCTTATAAAGGTAACAGATTTGACTATGTGCACACTAATCCGTGTTTGAACAAATAAAGTTATTAATAATTTAGGAAATCATGATTGAGGTGGTGTTTCCTTCTCTTAGCTATATGGTTTACTTGTGAAGCTATTATTGTTTTTTCAAATATAAGGAGAAGTGAGGTATTCGAATTTCCTTACAAATGACTGACTAGATTTTGGTTATTTTTGACCTTTAACCTATCTCTGTCTGAATATTGATTCTGATTGTCCACCACTTTTGACCTAATTCTTGATCCTTTATTTGTCTAAGGTTTCTCTAATTGGTTGAAAAATTAGGTTGATTTTGATGTGTTTATTGATTGCCGATTGACTTCAGTGCCGTGATCAAAAACATTTTCTTGTCTTATTAGTATTCTTCTCTCAAAATTTTCTCAGTCGAACGGGTGTCTATAGTTGCTGACGTATATTAATATCTAAGAAAATGTCATGGCGTTTGCCAACTAGTTGGTGTTCATGCAGACGAAAATCAAGAGGGTGTCCACCTTATTCGATATGATGTTTAAAAGTCTATCATACAAAGACGTGACAATAAAGTGTACTTTCCTGAAAAAAAAAAAAACTTTACTCAAACGCTAGTGGATTATTTTCTATGTAGAATCATCATCCAAATTAACAACAACAAGTGATATTCATTAGAGCTGCTCAAATTTATATACTTTTATTAAAGTTTTTTCATATGGACTGATTTAAGATTGATCTCGTATCCGAAGCTCCAAATCACATAGACGAGATGGAGATGCTGAATAACTCCAGCTTTACAGTTGACAATATAAGAATCTTTAGAATATACTTCTCAAGCTCTCAGTACCGGTATGAGTCAGCATCTAAGTTAATTGAAGAAAGTGGAGTAGTTTGGCTTGGAAGCTTCAACTGTGATACGTAGACAGCTGATTAAATCACTGAATGTATATGAACACGTTTTTTAGTTTTCGTATTTTCACTCCTCGTAGTTCACGCAAAAGATTTCTCTGTCTAAGCTGGGGTGAGTAAGCTGAACAAGTTTATTTTGTACTGTTTTACAACTAAATAAGTGAGTAATTTGTTTGCTTTCGAAGTATTGTTTACATATTGGTGGGACTCCCATGTTAGTAACTTTGAAGTTGTAGGGTATTAATGAAAACATGTTAAATCTGTCAGTGTGGCTTCGAAAATTTCATCGACTGAGATGGTTATGACATCTGCATCATGAACAAGCTATTGTTCATCTTAACGATAGAGGGGAAGTTTAAAGGAGACTATGGGTTGCTAGACTAAGTACATGGAGCGACTGACTGTTGAGGGGTATGGGGTGGTTACATTCAACTACTATCTGGGTCATTTAAAAAAGATTTAGAAATACTACAATTAAAGAACTTTGGAATGGTATCAGTGACCAGTACATTTAAAATTACATAGTATAAATACAAGTATATAGAAAGAACTAATAATCGAGCACTAAAATTTTTTTCATTGATGACGTGCAGTGAACAAGACTAAGTGAAAGTGGGGAAAGTAGATCTGTTAGCACTTGTTCAAGTAACTACATCTCATATGTATACAGAGGGAAAAGAATAACGGAAGAGTAAGTAAGTAATAGGTAAGTAATCAAAAAGGAATTTCAAACTGATGGACCTTTGGGTGATAGTTAATTTGATGTATGTATAATCCTTAGTGTTAAAAAATTCTGTCGATCGATTTGGATCTGTTAAGATGTTCGTCCAATATCCTAAGAGTATTATTGGTCACTTCCTATTGGTAAATTCCTACTGGTCAATATTATGGTCGTGCTAGATATCAATGTCACGTACTTCAATGGTGTTCTATTCTTTAGTACTTTGTACTGAATCTCGACACAGATTTGTTGCGAGTGTGAGTCAAATTACGATTGACTACACATTTCGTTGAAGAATGTTAGCTAACACTTAACTTGTACCAGTGGTTTTTTATTAACTGCTTTCAACCACCACATATCGAAAGAGTTTCATAATATTTAAGACTTAACAGAAAATTACAATTGCATCAAATTTCGAGTCTACTTGCCGGTAATTTTCACTCACTGATTTCTAAATGTAATCAAAAGTTCAATTTGTAAAAATTGGATTTTAAACGAAATTCAAATAAACCTTACTTTTGAATTAACACATTCACCATGTACACATATACGTGTATCACAACCATCTTTTTGTTTCAAACAATTGTCATATGGTAAAGACAAATCTTTTGTATATCCTGTACTGCACGTACAATTGTAAGTTAACATATTATACATTGGATTGCATTTATTAGTTGGATTTAACATAACGCCACATGCTTCATATCCTGATGGTACATAGGGACCGGCGTCTAATGGATTCATTTTCAATAATGTGTCGGATTTGCAAGCGTCGAATGGTTGATTGCAATTATATCCAATGTACCCCGTTTTGCAAATGCATGTGGCTACACCTAGTTATAAATTGAAATATATATATATATATATATATATATATATATATATATATATATATATATATATTAGTTAATCATAACTTATGAAGTACTAACTGACTGTATTATTCTATGTTACGAAGGGAATACTAGAAACTTAAAACTTAAAACGAATACACATAATTTTCAGACAGAACAAATAATAAGTATTATCACTGATTTCTTTGATCACATACATAATTGAATAAATGTCACCAGCTTGAATTTCTCATTAGGGCAGTGTGCGACAGTCAGTAATTTTATTCTTTATTGTCTATTTTACTTGACTGAATTACTTTAGTACTTTCTCCATTCTATTCCAAAAACATTTTATTGATTATCTAACTTAGATCAGTTCGTGATCTCAATGAAAGTCTACAATTTGCAAAACTCCATACTTATAACTATTGCACATATTATGTCAACAATTATAACACTTTGAAGTAAATATGTTTAAGATGAACGTACATTGGAGAAACATTGATTATCAGAGATCGTTTAACAAGAGCAGAAATAACATTTCATAAGCTTCGTATAGAAAGACCATGCGCGACCGGCCTCAGGCAGCGGTCCCTTGGGCTCTGCAGTCAGGTTCCTAAGTCACTGAGACCAATACTTACCCAGATTCTTCTTCAAGCGCCTCAAGAAGAAATACTGTGAAGTGACTACCGTCATTATATTACCAACAGAACACGAGATCACCAAGTTTATAATCGAATCTTTCGCGCTCTTTTTAATAAATCTCTTATCCCCACGGCTAACAATTCTGGCATATGTTTACCACATAGCGGCACTAATGATGATTATTGGAGTTCATGAAATGTAATCTCTAGTTTCTCAGAACCATGCTGCTGACTACCTGCTGAAATTTCTAATTTCTGAAACCTGTAATAAACAAGATGCTGGCTAAACTAGGACTCTAAGATATCGGGAAATCGATGAATGCTTCGTCACGGAAATGCAAACATTCACTAAGACTTATAATAAAAAAGGAAAGAACTCTAACTATTTACCTTTCATTTGTCCACAAACTCGACCGCTACAACCTACAGCCTCGCAGGTTTAGGTAAAACTCTAGGTTCAGAGGCGGAACCAAATCTCTTAGACTGGATCCCAGTCGCTGTCTGACTTACCAGGACAGTAAGAACTCTAAAAAAATGTAGACACCTAAATGGCAAGTGGATGAAAGCCCTTCAACTCCTAACAAAGTCGCGATGCTATTAGCAATTTAAGGCGAACGATAACAGCAGGTTCTAATAGATTAACCCCTAAGATGTTTAAGGATGGAGGTCCAGTTTCAGCCCTTAGATCGACTCAGTTCCGACCTCAATTCTGCGAAATGGAAATCATCTCATCTGACTGGTCGTCACCATTATTCATCCCAGTATATAGGAATGGACAAAATTCATATTCTGTCAATCACAGACGTGTCAGTCTAACTGATGTCTACAATGCGTAAACTACGAGCATCAATAACACTTCGACACCTAACTTGAACTCGTGAGGAGCAGATTCGAGAAAACCAGGTTCTTTTCAAACCTCGATGTGGATGTACAGGCTTAACATTCACACTTGGTCAGGTCCCACAACATAGACACACATTTCGACGAACTAGTTGTGGCCCGCGAGAGGATAGTAATCGATGGTTAGAAACTCTGAATGACATGGCCCAAGACCGTTTGCAATGGTGCAGGTGCATTTACTCTTTGTGTTCTATGAAATTCTAACCTTCTGAATTCCTTATCCCCTCTATGTTTCTCTTTCTAAATTAGTTTCACAGAATCATACTTTGAATAAATTCTTCGAGCCCTTATCTCTCCGATTACTGCTACTAATTCTACTTTGAAGTGGCAATTGCATCTTTGCACTAATTTGGTAAGGCAACTTGAACTGATGTACGTATGTAAGTACGAAGTTCTATGTTGTTGTTGACTGACTGATCCATCTGCTAACCGAATAACTAAATTTCTGCACAACAGTTCGCTCCGTTCTACTGTACAGATGTGAAACATGGTCATTAAGAAAAGAGGATATTCGCAGTTTACTTGTATTCGATCATCGGTGTATTAGAAACATTGCTCGTATATACTGGGCCAATCCAGTAAGCAATTCTCAGCTTGGGAATAGGGTACTAGTTAAGGATGGTAAATCGACTGATGTGGTAGTGAAACCTCATCACCTCAACGGACAATGATGCTTGATGTGAGAGTGAAGTGGAAGAAGACTAACGGTGGATGAACCGCAACCGAATTATAATTCGTCTGATAAAGTAAAGGTGTTCACTCAATGTATATTTACACTTATTTCTCGGGGTGTAACCGGAACCCGTTGTCACTGATGAGTTGCAGTGACTATGTCGTGCGTTACTGTAATAGTTCTAATATCGTCGCGACGATTAAAATGTCTTCAAGATAACGCGCGACCCCATAAATACCTGATAGGATGGAGTCCATTAGCTGCTGGAAGATAGACGGGGCGGTCTCGACTCCGAAGGGCAGGCGATTATACTGAAACAAACCACGATGAGTGTTGATAGTAAGCAGATCTCTTGATGCTTCATCTACATCCACTTGCAAATAAGCATAACCTAGATCCAGTTTTGCGGAAAACTTTCCTCCATCCCTCCTCTTTCGAAAAAATCATCTTTATGACACACGGCTTTACACTTCTTGCAGTTTCGCACATAGTGCCATCCAACACAGTAACAGCAAGGGACAGTGGGATTCGTCTTCGTCTGTCGGATTGAGTTGGAGGGAGGTGGATTGGGTTTAGCAAGGGCACATTTATTCTGATTAGGTGACCGTTGCACTACAAGTACGTCAGACTGACTAGATCCACTATAGTCGTGTCACGTTGCAGATTGGCATCTATCAACATCTTCATTAGTTTCAGCTGCTGCTCAGGTAATAATCCAAGTTTTGAAGGATCCATGTTTTCAAAACCACCGTCAACCAATAACAGTCAATGATTTTTCGATTGTGACATGCAATATCGAGGTCAACTGTGTGGATTATGCGCAAAAACATTAAAAAAAATCCAAAATTAGGACCTTTTCCAAGTGAGTTCTGTGGATCTAACGTCCCTAACATGCAGCTGACTAACTGACCAGAGGTTTGCTAATATGTCAGTAAGTTTTACGCTTTGTTCCCAAAAATCCCACGTTTATATTGTTAGTACTGCTCATTTGTTCTTTCAGCAGGCTGAGCTCGTGGTTTACACATATTTTCATAATAAAGTGTCGATTACTATACACTGATCATTTAAAGCACCTATGTAGCATAACTGTTTGACACAAACTAACAAACAGATTCATTAAACAATACTTTATCTATTAATAAAAATGATATTTTATTTTAATGTAAGTGGAGCGACTGAATAATAGCTCTAATTAAATAACTTTTGTTCAGCTTATAGCATCATTCAATAATTCTTTAGCCAATGAAGGGTTGTATGAGTAAATAAAATTATGATTTACAGTCATTCATTTACAACGTAGAACCTAGTACGTACAAAAGTTTGGATTTTCATACTACATTAGCAGAGAGACGCGATTGTCAATTCAAAGCCCATAGTAGTAGAGATAGTAGAAATATTAGGACGCCAACCACGTAGTCTACACTTACCAATATGATTTTAGTGAATAATTTATTAAGATCATTTACTTCACTCAACTATTTTGTTTAGTTTTTAAAATCTTTTATCTCTGTATTTAAATTCGAGCATTTGCTTTCCAAATAACATGCAGAAATTATCTAGGCACTAGACATTTTTTAAATTGGATTTTGTTTAAAAATTGCTTGTGCTGAATTTTTAATGTTCCCCCCACTTGGGTCAATTTAAATAATTACGATATTAGTAACCGTAGCAAGACTGTTGAATAACTATCCACTCGTATGGAATGTTCGAAACTGCTTCATCTTAAATATGATGTGAACTTTTATACTACCTTGCCGTCGAGCCAATAAAGTTTAAATCATACTGATGTTGTTGATAATTGTTCCATCAAAAGGGGGAATTAATTATGATCAAATAAATCACAACAAATTATAACTACTTCGACTGGGATTAAACTCCACTGTCGCTAGCCATGATGACTTTGTATCTGGCAACTAGTCAGAATGAGGTTAAAATTATTAGTTTCGATATCGAATGCCATTTTTATTCTGAGATTTTTTCATTGACTTATTATCAGTGTCACAGCAGTCTTCAGTGTACCCGTAGGAAGGAATATTGTAACTTATGAATGATTTAATAAAGTGGAGCTTATCCCTACTAAAAAATCACTAAATGCTGTTACAGATTCTTTTCTAATCATGAAAGAATTACTAACAACAATAAAAATCGAGAAATCTTTGTGTTTACCCGATGTTTGATTAAGCAAGCAAAGTTCAGTTGTTTCATGATTACATAACTTGCATGTATCAATTATGGCACATGTTAATAAGTCCTTTTCCCATTTATATCCCTTAAATTAAAGGAAAATAAATGTTAAAAATAGATAAATATATTTTTTTAGCTGAAACCTAGGATATATTTTTATAAAAATCTGAAGATTAAATTTCAAATCGGTGATCATAAAGCAGTCTAGTTACTGTAAAACCTGAGAGCATTATTTCAATCCCGGATGAGATGGTGGATGTGCATTATTAGAGTTTGGACAGTTATGCAGAAGATGTCAATTAAAGATGAACATTGTCTCCAACGTGTAAAAGCATTTCATACAGATGATTTGGTAAACAGAACAAATCAGTTGACCAAACTGAGAAGTCTTTCTTAAATCAACAATAAGAGCAAAATACAGAGCATAACAGGTTTTAGAAGACTTTTTCGAACTTTCGCAGTGTTGAAAAGTTTGAATTATTTTTTTCTGGTAAGCGTTTTCTTGGCAAGTTAGTTTTGGTTGGTATGAGGGCGCCAACCCCATGTCCAACCCTTCCTCCTTTATCCGGGCTTGGGACCGGCAGTTGCCCCGAATGGACTACAGGCGGAGTTAGTGTTGAAAAGTTGGGCAGAGAAATTAGTCATATTGTAGATTACCAAGCAAAATGAAATATTCGTATCTATTATTTGAATTCTAAGTGTGTTAAATGTTTTCACTAATCTTTCGAAAATAACACATCCTATGTTGATAAAAAATCTAATACCATTTCATCAATAGTTGTATGCGATTTTTCATCAACTCTGTAATCCTAAATAACTCCTGATTCTGCTGTCATAGATTTTGTCATTTATTAAGTAAGGAAATGTTATATGTCTCATGCATTGATATACTGATAATCGATCAACATCACCATACAGCTTTCTGATATTCGTTAACGAAACAGATTTATATGAATCACTTGGTTATCGCTAGACGTTAGAGTAGACGATTCTATAAGCCTTCACAACCGCCAACAAGTGTTTTCTCGGAATTCCGGATTTGTTTTCTCTACTGATCTACTATTCAATAATTTGATAGAGTTAAAAGTCAGTAGCATCTTACATTTTTAAGATTGTTGTTGAAAGACAGACCTTATAAATGACATAGATAATTAGATGAACAACATATTCCCACCACTCCTGCGTTCAACGATTAGGCAAGTTAAGAGGAAAAAAACAACTAGCATTAGTTTACAAGTTTTCATACCACATTAGCACAGTGAGATGCAAAAGTAGTTTAAGCGGTATCCCTATTAATGACAGTACATAACCTCTGGCTAGAAAGATATGTATGGTTTAAGAAGAAAATACGAATTCGTTAAAAAGAAATATTTTAGAGATAATTAAAAAACTTGTAATTTAAAGGTACAAACAGTGAATGCACTAGTGCAGCTCCAAACGATTCTGAACTAAGTCATCCAAAGTATAATCAGCGATTATGATAACCACGTGAACCCCAAACAGACAGTTTGTATTTATTTATGTAGGTAAGTCCAACAGACACTGACTTCATGGATTAATGCCAGGTTTGTGTTAGGCTAACTACCAACCTACTCACACTAGTCATCACTGAGCATTGAGATGGGCGACAGTTACGCATTTACAATGGAGGTCTCAATCACTTCACTCAATCAAGATTCACTATCTCGTCAACAGATTTACCATTCTTACTTGGCATCCTATGTCTAACCTCAACAGTATTAAATCAGTGGTTTCAACATACACGAGTAATGCTTTAAAGGCGATTTCAACTAACACTAGTAACCTGAAAATATGCACCACTTTTTAAAGCTATATTTCATAGACATAAAAAAGGAGTGAACTGTTGTGTAGCATACTCATCCTTCACTGGCTAGACGGACATCGAATCAAAAATCAATCGAATCGAAATCTACTTAAAAATGACTTAAAAGCGGCGATAGACAACAGTAAGCAACTATTCAGACTCATCAAAGAAACCGGTATTAGGAACCCTTCTGTCAGAGAAACTACATCAAAAAAGGATGCGCTTATAATTCATTCTCAATCCAGGAGATTGGACTGATGGGCAGAACACTTTACGGATTGGTTCAATTGGCCCTCCCTCAGACACATTTCGGTTGCCCACGATCTCTGGTCATCCTCAACGGCAAATCGACACAACTTTGAGATTAGCAGGCTGGATCCCGTAAAGATCGATCGTGCCATTGGCAAATCGTGACACTACGGATCATTGTGGAACAATCAATTGCGTCGAATCCACCGATATACACCAACATTTCGGACTATTGCTGTTGATTGATTGAACTCTTTGGACTATGAGAAAGCAACTGATGGCGCTTCCTCGACACTATGGCGTGCCTCAGAGGATAGTCAACATCATATCGAATTCTTATAATGGACTAAACTGTAAAATCGTGCATGGAAGACAGCTTGCAGACTCATTTCAAGTATAAAGCACCATGTCAGGCAAGGCTGTCTGCTAACGACCTTTGATCTACCTGCTCTATGCCACACAACAAGGAATGCAGACGAAGACGACCAGTGTAGCAGCAGCATCTGCAGCAGTAGGTCCCAACATATCCAACGAAAAAGCACGATCCTCTAATACAACACAACATGCACCAAACAAATCACACTTGAAGGAGAAGCTCTGGAAGAAGCGGAAACCTTTACATACCCAGGAACGACCATTGATAAAGAGAAGGTGCATCTGATGTCAATGTAAAGTCACGAATAGGCAAAGCAAGGGTAGCATTTCTACAATTGAAGGACATCTGGAACTCAAAACATCTGTCAACAAACACCAAAGTTAGAACTCTCGGTATAAATGTCAAAACAGTTCCATTGTATGCGGCCGAAAGTTGGAGAACTACAAAAGCCGGCATCCAGAAGATACAAGTGTTTACTAACAGTTTTATACGCAATATACTGCAGATCCGTTGGCTAGGCACTACCAGCAGCAACCTATTGTGGGATAGAATAAACCAGCCTCCCACTGAGGAAGACATTAGAAAAATATGTTGGAGGTGAATATGACAAACATAGAAAATGGGTAGAACTGGAAAGGAACGCCCAGGACAGAGTTCTTACGAGAATGTTGGTTAGGGGCTTATGCTTTATCACGATTAACGGGCTTAAATAAGAAAGTTAGATCAGTATTGAAAACGTATTTTATAGGACAATAAATTGCAAACGAAACATGGGAACCGATGAATTGAGTTCATACGACACCTTTTCTTTCAGGATGCTGGGTCTATTGACACTTTTCTAAGTGAACCAATCATATGCATTAATTCAGATTATGTGCTGGACTGTCAATTACTGGGAACACATTAACTACTTTTAAGGGATGAGTAGGGCTTTCTCGAGGGACAGCAGAAACTCTGGGCCGATTTAGAGGAAACCTAACTCTTCTCTACTTTTTATATACCAGCGTCCAGGCCTATTTTATGTTAGCATACGACAATTCAAAGGCACTTAGATTTTATTTTTACTAAGAAACTGATAGGTGTTTGATAGTTTCAAAGTACGTGGATATATATAATGTCTCCTGAATTATTTTCTTCAGTCTATCTTTTCATATCATTCTAAATGCCATAAATATTAAAATATGTTTTCAGACATACCGATTCGCATAAGCATTCATAATCATCCTTATGATAGCCACGACGTCTACAAGAATCACCAACTGCGTTTGGAATATAACGACAAGGTCTTCGCTTACATGGATTTGGACATACCTGTGTTAATAATAAACAGAGAACATTTGAAAACTGTTTTCATAAAGAAGTGTGATGATTAAAAAATGTAATTACCGTACATTTTAAATATTCCAGTGACATCAGCTGTCATATGAAGTATATTTTTAAAAAGTTACGGCAGCTAAATTGTTTCTCTCTTCAAATTTAAACATACTTCCATGTGAGGATCATGATTAAAATTAGCTGCTGTTGAATCTGATTATACATTAATGATATATTACTGATGTTCCAATGACTGAAAATTCAGATTGACTAATTGCACATGTTTAGACTCTAGTACGCACGTGTATTCCGAAGAAACCCCTGAGAGTTTTACAGAACAATAGCAAAGCCAAAAGAATGCTTCGAGAGACACTAGAAAAACAGTAAGCCAGTCAAGTAAATTTTGCCTACACCGAGGTAGCTTGAAAAGATATCCGAAAATCTGTAGAAACACCAGCAATATTTACCAGTATGCTAAACCAAAAGGTTAGTGAAAAGCAGTAGATTTTAGTAGCATCTACAGAACTGATAGATGCTCAGAAACTCATCCAATCTGGCTCTGAACATGATGAAGAGCGAAGTCAGCTGAAGCGCAGGCTGATAAGAAGCCTACGCAATGATCGCGACCAGTGGTGGGTGGCGAAAGCAGGAGAGACGGAAAAGGCGGCGAGCCGCAATAGGTAACAGTCGACAACTGTTCTGACTTATCAAGGAAACCGGTATTAAGAAATCCGAGTGTCAGTGAAACTATCTCGGATTGGATGAGCATATTACTCATTTTCAATCCAGGGGATTGGATCGATCGGTAGGATATTTTGGGTAGAAGTTCAGGTGACCTTCAGTCATACTTCAGTTACTCACGAACTCCAGTCGACCTGAATGGCAATTTGATGGAAGCCCTTCAACTCGTAACGAAGTCGCGATGCCATTGGCAATTTAAGGCGAACGATAGCAGCAGGTTCTAATAGATTAACCCCTAAGATGTTTAAGGATGGAGGTCCAGTTTCAGCCCTTAGATCGACTCTCACCCTTGCTCTTTCTCCTGCCCATCGACTGGATTATGAAGACGTCAGAATCTGGAGGGAAGCACGGTATCAACTGAACAGTTACGACGCAGCTGGACGATCTGGACATCGCAGATGACCTGGCTCTTCTATCGCACACGCAACAACAAATGCAAGAGAAGACGACCAGTGTAGCAGCAGCCTCTGCAGCAGTAGGTCTCAACATACATAAAGGAAAAAGCAAAATCCTCCGATGCAACACAACATGCACCAACCAAATCACTCTTGATGGAGATGTCTTGGAGGACGTTAACACCTTCACATATCTGAGCAGCATCATCGACGAGAAAGGTGGATCCGATGCAGACGTGAGGGCGCGGATCGGCAAAGCAAGGGCTGCATTTCTACAGTTGAAAAATATCTGGAACTGCAAACAACTTTCAACCGAAACCAAAATCAGGATTTTCAATACAAATGTCAAGACAGTTCTACTGTATGGAGCGGAAACTTGGAGAACTACCAAAGCCATCATCCAGAAGATACAAGTGTTTATTAACAGTTGTCTACGCAAAATACTTCGTATTCGTTGGCCAGACACGATCAGCAACAACCTACTGTGGGAGAAAACAAACCAGATTGCAATGGAGGAGGAAATCAGGAAGAAGCGGTGGAAGTGGATAGGACACACACTACGAAAAGCACCTAACTGCGTCACAAGACAAGCCCTCACATGGAACCCTCAAGGCAAAAGGAAAAGAGGAAGGCCAAGGAACACATTACGCTGAGAAATAGAGAAAGATATGAGAGGAATGAACAAGAGTTGGACAGAACTGGAGAGGGAAGCCTACGACAGATTTGGTTGGAGGAATCTGGTGAGCGGCCTTTGCTCCATTGGGGGTAACAGGCGTAAGTAAGTAAGTAAGTAATCCAGTAAGCAATTCCTGGTTTGGGAAAAAGAAACTGGGTAAGGATGGAAAATCGATTGATGTAGTAGTGAAACCTCATAACCTCAATGGACGATGCTGTTTGATGTGGGAGTGAGCTGGAAGAAGCCTAGCGACGACTAAACCATAACACGGCGCGAGTCCATGAAGTCATTGACTGTTGGACTGACCGTGTTTTTCGGTTTCGACTACCTGGTTGCGGTACGCGAGATAATATTGACCGGTTATTACACTGAATGACAGCTGGATATCGTTTGCGAGTGAGTAGATGCACTCATTATGTCTTTCCCCAAGTTCTTAGTTGCAGAATTTCTCAGTATCTGTTTGCTCAGTTTTAAACTAATTTCAATGGTTTATAATTTCTCGAATCATATCTTCGATTCCTAATTTCTTCCGTTACCACTATTACTACTACTCTTGGGTTGGAATTGATAGTTTTATCTTTCTAAGCTAATGTGATATGGTGACTTGAACTGATGTATTTACTTATCAAGTTCTATGTTGCACCTGACTGACTGACAGTTTGATTCTATGGGATACATCAGTGTGCATTTGTATGTACGATGGTTGTGATAAATGGAGTAGCTAAAATTTGAGTTTTGTTTAGTTGTGAGAAATGAAATAATGAAACGTAAATGCTTGGATAAAAAGTTCAAGCTGGATGGATAGTCAGGCCTTCTTTTCTATGCGAAGTATGGAGATTCAGCATTATATATCAGATGATAACGCATCTGACTTGGATATGCTTCACTATAAAAATACTTCTAAACGGATAGACAATTCTTGACACCATGACAAATTCACTTTCCAAAAGGAAAACGAATGTAATGAATTGCGATTTCGTTTAAAGAAATGCCAACGGAAATTCAGATTAAACCGTAAGACGAAAATCGATAGATTGATACCGGTACGTCGATTTCTACTCTGTACATTCATTCAGCACAAGCTCACTTCTGTATGAAAGCTACCAAGATATCCAGAATGATAATTAAAGTCTTGCAATTAAACCATCTAGCTCAGAGAACATAACATCACCGAAAGTATTCAACTGAACTGCAATCTTTTCCGCTCAATTTCACTGAAATATACAAACTAGGATTTCTTTCATGAATTTTATCCTTGTTACAGACAACTTTAAACTAGTGAAACTCGATAATGACATTTGTCGAAATAGTTCATTACATCAAACTTGAAAGTTGTTATTCGTTTCTTAAAAATTATTCCCACGTTATGTGGAATATCGAGAGACAGCGATGACGATTTGAAAAATCTGCAATTATTAGAACAAATGACTAACGGAGTTTTATCCATGGAAACACCAGTTCAAAGAGTAACAGAACCACAGAAAATACGAAAACTTACATATATGTAAACTCACATCTAAGTCAGGTACAGTTTCTCTTATTTTACCATAAAGATGACATATAGTATATATGTATATCAAACTCATTTGATCTATTGTTCGTAAGCGATAACATCCACCACGTATAACTGGTGTGATGAAATGTTTATTTGACAATGTCACAAACTTTTCACCAAATATTTGTTGTAGCAAGTGTGGATTATTTGAAGTGGGTTGCATTAATGCCAGAAAATAAGCCCATGAACATCTTGGATGTTTGATTTCATCACATAATGTAACTATGTGAGGCCAATTGACATCAGCTAAGTACATATTTCCATTATGCGGAAACATATCTGAGTTGACATGTAGAAAAATTAAAATTTGATTTCAATCAATTGTTTAAACTACAGTTGATTAGTATAGTGGAAATAAGTAGGAATTTATTTAAACTGAAATAGTCAAATTACTTTTTTTAAATATGAATATTAAGGTCTTGAAGGTGGAATGCATCATGCTTAGTTTGATGACAACAGATGCTTTAGTGATTTTTTTTCCAGCATGCATCATTTCTATTTCACTAAATATTCCTCTCTAAGATCTTCGAAAGTGAGAATTTTCTAAGTTCGAATTCGATCTGTTTAAAATGATATTCAATTCTTGTAAAGTCAATAAATGAAACACTAACTTTTGTAATCATATCTAATTCATAGATAACAAACGGTAACATGATAACTCTTAGTATCCGTACCATAAGTGGTATTTAGAACTTTTATACATATAATCAATCAGCTTGTTCGATAACATTTAGCATTATTTATATTGTCCTCAACAACCTTCTGATCATTATCCGAACATGCATTTCTGACTTAAGTAATTTAACGTTTGGTGTATATGTGGCTGATAGCTAAATTCAGCTTACATCAATATGTGAACGGTCCTATCCAAGATGAAAGTCAGGTTATTTTAAATGTTTATCTAATTTCATTTCCTCATTTGTGTTCAAAGTTTCGCATATTCACTTGATTTGAGACAAAAGAAAGCTCATCTAAACTATGACCAAAGTAAATTGGTATATCAGCAGTATAGCTAGATAAGTCAATCAGATTAAGCCTAAAATATTAGGTCAGCTTTGACGCAAATGAAGCCATAATATTGTTGTTTTTAAAATAAGATTGATGTCAAAGTTCTCATGATACAATTGCTCATAAACAAATAAATTATTCGTACAACTTTGATATACAAAGATACAGAGGTTTACTGAACCTCTATTTCAACTAGATCTGCTTTATGATCTATCTTTAATGAATTTCACTAAATCCCATCGATTTAGAAATTCAACTTTTTTGTATGAGTATATTCCGACAGACGATATATGATATTTTTGTGATCACCGTTTGCTTCCAACGACATCATATCCGCTAAGCTATTGAATTCAGATAATCACTGGGTTGTGCGACGAGGCGAAATTCATTTCATTTGTACTGGTTATTTGAATCTTTCCATTGATGTTTAGAAGTGCAATCGATCAGTCCCTTTAAGTTTATGCGCAACTTGTGAGGATTGCTTCGATACTGCCATAAGGTCGCAAGCATTTTTAAGCTAAGTGGATAACCTGTTGTGTTTCGAAGCGAACGCTTATGGATTCAAGTCGAGAAGTGAATATCAACCCTAGGACGCATATATATTCAGCTGACGAGACGAAATGAGTGTTCTAGCTTTCACTGATTGCTGCCATCTATCTTTGCCATTGGTTGGCCTCGGAGAGGGCTATCAGAAATGAAAAAAATAACTCCCTTGGATAGTCTCACATCAACATCTAAAGAAAGCATGATTTAATGTCATAAATGGGCAAATAATCCCTTCCTATCCTAATATGAGTGGCCTTAATGTTCAATCTCCTAATAAAATTCTTTTATACTCATCCAAAAGCCAATCGATCTTAGTTGACTACAACCTCACTAGGAACACTTCTGGAGTTACTGCTAGTCCCAAGCATGGATAAAAGAGAAGGGGTTGAGCATAAAGTTAGCGAAAACCAACTCGCTAAAAAACGCCAACAGGAACAAATAATTCAAACCATGTAAAATCTGCCCTGGTAGTTGGGAAAATATCATTGAGAAGAGTTATGAAAACTCATGATGAAAGTCGAGTTTCTGCAGAAGTCAATACGCTGATGCCCCTTTTGACAACCACAGCAACAATTAATACAGGCATAGGAATGTTCGCTTAGAAAAAGAAAAAACCAAACATTGTGAGTAAGCGAAACCCATTACCTACAGGCTAGGCAAAATGAGTTGTTATACTCCGGTCATGAAGAAAATGCTTCACAACAAACGAGGAGTTGCACTGATGCTATCCAAAGAAGCTCATACAGCGCTTATATAATGAGAATTCATTGTTATAGTTCTCCCTTATTACAACCCAGCTATTCCTAAGGCTTAGTATTCTCGGACACCAATTCACTCGAGACGTTCTCACAAATCAGAACACGGTTGAACAGGAAATAGATTATATTCCTGTTACGCATGCACGCAAACATGTCATTTGATATGCTTGAACTATTGCGAGTTTACCTTAGCCGGAAAACGAGAGTGAGGATCGAGGATCCGGCGACACGACATACTGCTCTAATCCGAACGTCTCACACCCCCACTGAGTAAAAGAAGACCTGATATGAAGTAGAACCTGTATTCTTCAAGCACCCAGAAAGTACGAGGTCAGAGTCCAGAAGAGAATCAGGATTCAGCACTAGGGATCCGTGTCCGGGTCATAAAACGTTTCAGATAATCCGTATTTATACATTTAGGTCGGATAGGAAACAGCATCGAATTTTGTGACATCGGCAATTAAGAAAACCAGTATTTTTTTTCTGGTTAGCATTTTTTGGCAAGTTAGTTTTTGACAGGATGGGGACGCCAAATCCATGCCCAACCCTCCTCCTTTATTCGGGCTTGGGACCGGACAACCAGTAGGAAACAACAATTGAAGTGTCATTGACAGTCAGGACGACCAATAAGAAACAACACTGGAGTACTTGACATTGATAGCTAGGACGACCATAATATTGACAAACAGGAATCGACCAATAGAATTTACACTTACAAAATGATTCTTCGTCGGATATTTGGTGAATATACTAACAATTTCGATAACAAGGTTAGAAGGGAGGCAGAAGATCCAAACGAAAAAGACGTTAGTATATTTGTAGTTTTCTTACATGAGACGATTCTAGATTGTTCCCTCAGTATCGGCTAGCGCTGATTGGATAGGAAAGAGCCAATCTACCTGCAACTACGCAATCATGCTTCATTCCAATCTATGTCCCACGAACAATCATGGCACCGAAATCATCAAAGCATTCTTCAAAATAAAGAAAATCAGGATTACTATCTCGTCAACAGATTTACCATTCTTACTTGGTATCCTATGTCTAACCTCAACAGTATTAAATCAGTGGTTTCAACATACACGAGTAATGCTTTAAAGGCGATTTCAACTAACACTAGTAACCTGAAAATATGCACCACTTTTTAAAGCTATATTTCATAGACATAAAAAAGGAGTGAACTGTTGTGTAGCATACTCATCCTTCACTGGCTAGACGGACATCGAATCAAAAATCAATCGAATCGAAATCTACTTAAAAATGACTTAAAAGCGGCGATAGACAACAGTAAGCAACTATTCAGACTCATCAAAGAAACCGGTATTAGGAACCCTTCTGTCAGAGAAACTACATCAAAAAAGGATGCGCTTATAATTCATTCTCAATCCAGGAGATTGGACTGATGGGCAGAACACTTTACGGATTGGTTCAATTGGCCCTCCCTCAGACACATTTCGGTTGCCCACGATCTCTAGTCATCCTCAACGGCAAATCGACACAACTTTGCGATTAGCAGGCTGGATCCCGTAAAGATCGATCGTGCCATTGGCAAATCGTGACACTACGGATCATTGTGGAACAATCAATTGCGTCGAATCCACCGATATACACCAACATTTCGGACTATTGCTGTTGATTGATTGAACTCTTTGGACTATGAGAAAGCAACTGATGGCGCTTCCTCGACACTATGGCGTGCCTCAGAGGATAGTCAACATCATATCGAATTCTTATAATGGACTAAACTGTAAAATCGTGCATGGAAGACAGCTTGCAGACTCATTTCAAGTATAAAGCACCATGTCAGGCAAGGCTGTCTGCTAACGACCTTTGATCTACCTGCTCTATGCCACACAACAAGGAATGCAGACGAAGACGACCAGTGTAGCAGCAGCATCTGCAGCAGTAGGTCCCAACATATCCAACGAAAAAGCACGATCCTCTAATACAACACAACAACACAACACAACAACAACACAACAACAACAGCTCTGGAAGAAGCGGAAACCTTTACATACCCAGGAACGACCATTGATAAAGAGAAGGTGCATCTGATGTCAATGTAAAGTCACGAATAGGCAAAGCAAGGGTAGCATTTCTACAATTGAAGGACATCTGGAACTCAAAACATCTGTCAACAAACACCAAAGTTAGAACTCTCGGTATAAATGTCAAAACAGTTCCATTGTATGCGGCCGAAAGTTGGAGAACTACAAAAGCCGGCATCCAGAAGATACAAGTGTTTACTAACAGTTTTATACGCAATATACTGCAGATCCGTTGGCTAGGCACTACCAGCAGCAACCTATTGTGGGATAGAATAAACCAGCCTCCCACTGAGGAAGACATTAGAAAAATATGTTGGAGGTGAATATGACAAACATAGAAAATGGGTAGAACTGGAAAGGAACGCCCAGGACAGAGTTCTTACGAGAATGTTGGTTAGGGGCTTATGCTTTATCACGATTAACGGGCTTAAATAAGAAAGTTAGATCAGTATTGAAAACGTATTTTATAGGACAATAAATTGCAAACGAAACATGGGAACCGATGAATTGAGTTCATACGACACCTTTTCTTTCAGGATGCTGGGTCTATTGACACTTTTCTAAGTGAACCAATCATATGCATTAATTCAGATTATGTGCTGGACTGTCAATTACTGGGAACACATTAACTACTTTTAAGGGATGAGTAGGGCTTTCTCGAGGGACAGCAGAAACTCTGGGCCGATTGAGAGGAAACCGAACTCTTGACTCCATTTTTTGATGAAGATGAAGAATAATGAATCATAGTTTAACAATCATGGTTCTATATATTCATCGAATAAATTACGTTAGTGAATAATGGAATAAAATAAGTCAAATATGAGTGTCTGGGATGTAAATTTTATTTATCCGTTATTACTTAGAGAAAATAAATGAAACCTATGGCAGGGGTAGGTTTTATCGGCTCAAAATATTGCTCGTTACAATTATTAAAATATTCTAAATAAGACGACAAATAATGTAGGGACAGACAGACAGACAGAAACAACGCATGAATTCGTCAATAAGTACATCAGTTCAGGTTGCCATGCGACATTAGCATAGAGACGCAACTGTCAGTTCAAATCCAAGAGTGATAGCGATAGTAGAAGTATTAGCAGTAATGGAGAAGATTAGGGAGCGAAGATTCGATTCGAGAAGTATAATTCAGTGAGATAAATTTAGAAGGAGAAAAACAGCGATTATGAGGAATACAGAAGCTTAGAATTTCATACAACACAAAGAGTGGATGCATCTGCGCCATTGCAAACGATTCTGAGCCATGTCGTTCAAGGTCTCTAACCATTGTTGACTTCCGTTTTGCCGACCCCAACCAGTTAGTCGACACCAACCGACATGACTCAGTCCACTTGTCAATGACTTCATGGATTTCTGCACTGTTTTGTTTTGGCCACCCCTATCTTTCTTCCAACCAACTTGTACATCAAAAAACATAGTTAGTGGTTAGGCATACGCAGCACATGTCTCAACCACCTCAACTGATGAAGTTTCAATATATGATCAATATTGATCTGCCATCCTTATCTAGCACTCGTTTCCTAACAACAGCATTGCTCACTCGGTTGTCCCAGGATATCCGAGCAATGCTTCGAAGACATCTGCGGTCGAAAACCAGTAACCTACAAATATTTTCTACTTTCACTGGCCATGTTTCACAGCCATAAAGTAGGATGGAGCGAACTACTGCACAGTACACTCGTCCTTTGGGTAACAAGCGGATATCTCGTCTACGCCATAAGAGCAAAAATAATATGCGTGTCAATAGGGCAAGCAAGTGAATGATTGTTAGCGAATGAATGAATAGGATTAAAATGCACATATATATACATAGGAAAATGGAGTAGTCGAAATATTTAAGCAGTCAACATTAGAGAGAATAGGCTGAATATATACGTAGGCGGTAAGCAATGTTCAGCCATAACTAGTTATGCAAACCCGACAATAATAAAAGCCAAAGGTACATACAAGTTATTGCTATAAGAATGACTCAATCAAATAAGTTAATCGAAAAAGCTTAGCCAAATTAAATATGAACAAAATCAAATGTGTGCGGAGATACTACAAGGTATTGTCAATTAGATTCTCATGACAATACACGGTTAATAGTTTAAAACTCATTGCCTGATTTCGATTACAGTGAAGGCAAGTTAAATATTAGTATGAACGATTTTACAAATAGATGACATTATTACAGTGAGACGTGTTATTTCTCTACTTACTAAGGTGATACAGAGTAAAGTTAGAGGCAATGAATAATAAATGCTACAGAAGTCATATAGTTCCATAATTGATTATGCAAAAGTTTTCGTGACGAGCTAATATGAATAAGAATGACTGTTGGGTATAAGAAAGCTGAAAGGTCTAACGATAGACAACAATTAAACGTAATTCTTGAATATCATTCACTAATTCAGTTACTAAAGTCCCAACTCTGGAATTACAGAGTATACATGAGTTGAGACTAGTAGTGTGGTCAAGGACGTGCATCTTTTCTATTTGGGGATCTGAAGTTATTACGCTACATCTTCGATGGAGTAACGGTCCACTAACTAGCTTAGAATTTAATTCAAAAATAGTTATGAACAATAAATTACGAAACCCCATGTTCGTACGTTACATACCTTCATAAGTATTCCGACTCCAGTAATGATACCATATGGTAATAGGTATAATAGAAGACCCATAAATACCAGGTGGAAAACCATTTTCATATTCTCTATATTGTGGATTATGCATCTGTTGAAAAGTTCGAAATCCAACATTCTCTTGCATTGAATATTCTTTCCGATAGCGTTTAGCGATAAAATCATAAACTCTTTCTGAATTGGCGAAAATAATAACAAGTAAGAACACGCTAACAGGACATATAATTTTATCCATCAATTCATACATGATTCATGAATTCAACCCAAATACATTGGATATCATTAGAAGTCTGTTAAATCAATATTATCAATTTGAAAGTCATTGACAGTGTATTTAAACAGATCGATAACATTATTTTTCATATTAGATAAATTATATGACTATCCCAAAAAGGAATGAGTAAATAAACATGAAATTAAATCATATAGACGCATAAAACAACTGAAAGCGACCTGGCTGGTGTTCTACAACAATTAGCTTAGTTCACAAACTCAGGTCTTCTGTCAATATTTTTGAAGAGAACCGCGCTCATCCGACAGAGAAAGATAAATATAGGACATAAACACAATGCCTTCTCACTATCTTTATGGGATACAATGTCGAGATGCTAATGACAGTGCTAGGATTTCTACATCACCTCAGTTGTTTCACTTGAACTGTATTTCTTGCTTGAATCCTACAGAGTTTACGAGTAGTAATCCATAATTAGGTAGAGGGGTATCGCGCAATCTGCGAACGTCACAAAAATCAGGGCGGTCATTGAGTAATAATGTTCCAGTATATCTAAAACTGTGGCGTTACTGCCTAGTGAAAAAATGATGAGATGAGCACAGCTAACAGATGTGTTCACTTCTATTTATTATGAAATGCTTGTTGTAAACACTATAAGTTTGACCGTACGGACTGAGTAGGTGATATAGTGGAAAAGAAAGTTCTTTGCCAAACCATATTTAAATCGTTTTTATCAATGCGATAGGTTTTTTTCACTATCGATTCTAGTTGCGTTGCCTCCTAGGCAAATAATCTAAAAGAAGTTCGCTAGTTAGACAAACAAACAGAAACTTTATATGAAAGTGCAAGGAAAATCACTATCGAAGAGTCAAGTCAGTGATCAAACCTGAAGGCAAGAACATGTGAAGGAACCACTAGCTGAAATGTTACAGAACTACCTTCGTTTGGCTTCTTCTGCAACGTGACTAAATCTAAATTACAACTGGAAATTTACATCTCATTTTCAAACCTCGGTGAAATGAGGCTTATACCAAAGCTCTTGTCAACTTATTTAACAAAGACTTTGATGAAATGTATGCATGGTACTTGAAAGCCTCGTGCTTAAGGGTACTTTATGAAAATTACGGTAGATTGTCATCAACAACTTATCATATACCATCAACAATGAACTTTCACCAGTTTTCATCCACCTCAGGTTTTTGTTTGCTTACTTTGTCTTACGCATGGTGATTTAGATACCGAGATCACAGCTACGATAATTACGTTTACCACTCCTTTGAATACTTTTGTGACATTCAAATTCGCAATGTTAACATTTGACAAGGATAGTTCTTTAATGATAAAATTCCAATAAATGAATCAGGCAACTACCATAACTGAATATTTCCTGTAGTAAGAATACTTATGAAAACATACAAAGACGATATAAACACCTCCTAATTTCAAGTTAACATAATTAACACCTACCAATATACTATAAACATTTTTCGAAGTAATCGATCAACATAAAATATAGATATTTTCGCAATAAGAGCTTTACCCTGAAAGTACTATTGAGAAGCAACTACGTCAATATTTTTGAAGGAAACAACTTCCAGACTATTTGGCAAGATTAAAATTTGTGCCTGCACTCTAATTAATTCGTATAGCAGATAAATACAAGATAGGTTACCAGATTATGCTAACTCGAAACATCCTTTTCAGATACTGACCACTATGGGATAAAGAATAAATCGGTAATACATATAGTTCGTGAGTCCTTTGACTCTCTATGTTATGTCCATTACATTACAACGATGAAAAATGTCAGCACCAGCATAAGCGGCGTCAGGTTTTCATCATACCAAGTAACGAAGTAAATCTAAGCGTAAAATGAGTACCCTAGATTGTATAATCCATAAATCTGAATGTCATATGAACATTTTACAGAAAATTTTGATGAGCTTCAATCACCAGATAATTACTTTATATTTAAGCGTCTAAATCCCATCAAATAGTTGTTATCTGATGCCACAGCAAAATTTCTCGGTTAGAAACGTCATAAAAAAAGATAGAAACTAGTTTTATATGCGTTAATTTAGATATTCCTCTGAAAAAACCGTTTAATTCCGAATTCAAACGAAAACATCAATGCTTTTCCAGAAAACTATTACTGAGGTAAACTTTTCGATTACTTCATATGCAGAGTATACGGCCAACAAAACATGGACTTAAAATCTAAACAGTGGGAGGAAGGAATCCACCATAAACACGATATTGAGAAATACATTGGGGCATACGTTTCGAGTCATAATAATCTTATTCGGTGCCTAGGGAGTCATGACTGGTTCAATACGAATCCCAATAGAAAACAAGCAGTTAAATCACATTACCTAAAATAACCAGTTACACGACCTAGTCATATAGTTGGACTACGTTGTTTTAGTGACACAACCGTTGAATAATCTAGTCAATGTTTCTAGAAATACTTACGAAGCCGCAATAACCCCGCCTTAAAACGCGAAATCGGAACATTCCTGCAGATACTTTACATTTTGGGTGATATCCACACGACAATACGAACATGACATTAACGCATCAGGATAGACTTTATAAGGTTTCACAAAACAAAAGTCAACATGCTTTTAAAGGATTCTTGGAATATTTACAGTACAAACTGAGGTTTTAAATAGCGAAAATCAGTTTTATTTACATTGTACAGTGTGATCCCGACGTGAACGAAACCAATTCACTGAGTGGGGTTAGCTGATTCCGTAGCGGCTGACATACGTTCGGTAATAAATGGGTGTTGTAGAGCTTCATTTAAGGAAATACGACGAGTAGGATCCAGCATCAAGGTTTTTTCAAGAAGGTCACGAAACTGTGTTACTTTACGGAAGATTGGTTCACTTAGCTTTGACTGACCAATAAGGTCTGTCATTAGGTCCCTTGTTGGTTGTAAATTACGAATTACTGTCATTTTCTCCTAAAACAAAATAAGCAACACGTAGACTACTGATAATGAATACAACGGGGTTCTCATTTCAGCTTAGGAATATTGAAAGGTTATTGTGTTTAGCATTTAGATATAGAACTAAGTTTTCAGAACATTCCATACAAACGAATATCCCGTAGGGGGGATAAAGGTCTATAAGCGAACAATAAACAAAAATTTTTCAAAACACACTCCATATATATTTGACTTTAAAAAACCCTGAATCCGCAGTTACAAGATACAGGACGATATTAAAAACATAATAATGATTGTGGTGAATTCATCTTAAGTCTTATAATTATCCAATTTTCGGACAAACAAAGAATAGGATATGTAAGGTGGGAACTACTGTTAGGTTTAAAATGTAAACACAGGCGTTAACAGCTTGCAGCTACGTAATCTGGTTGAAATTACCAAGGCTTTGGGTAGATTAAAATTCAGTATTTATAAGAACCATGATCTGAACATCCTCCCAGTGCATCAAATAATTGAGATAGGTGGAAATAATTATCGAATTAATTACTGATTCTCATTAACCCGAAAGATTACTTGATAATTGAGACAACTGAAAATAGTATATAGCAAATTTATAGACGTTTATCCTAGATGTCGTTTGTAAAGAGTGAATGTTTCGTATACAACTTTACATTATACTAACACAAAACATTGACCAGCCGAAAACGAGTTGTAGCACTTATTCCAGTTATACGCACCAAAATGATAACCCATGTATTGATTATTCTCTGATACAAATAAAGGAATTAAATTGTATAAGTAAACTGAATTCCAATAGATCTGAGCAACTGGATAACTTAGATATATCTGCATGGGAAGCGATAAAAACGCATTAAAAACCAGGATAAATGATAAAAACTTTTTTAGTGCTTGTGAGAGATTATGAAATAGACATACGATAAAAATAAGTGTTACAACTTTTAAAAATATAGACACCGATCTTTGAATAAGTCAGCAAACCTTTTGTGTTACTTTATCCACTTCATGATAAAGGAAATTGCACTGTTCATCAAAATGTTGTGAGCGAAACATTCCACGACGGATCACGCGACCTGGTATACGACCTTTGACTTCCATCATTAAACGTAACATTTCATTGTTAGTCTTTCCTGGAAACATAATCTGTCCAGTATGTAACTCAAATAGAGTTACGCTGCTAGACCACAAATCCACATTGTAATCATAAGGAACACCTAAGACTAAAACAAATGTCAAACACCAAGATTTTAAATGAAAATGATTTTGAAAAACTGAGGATGACTCAGTTATTATGAAAACATGTTCATCTGGTTAGAACATTTGCAGAATTAAAAGTCTATCTCACATATTAGGTGAGATGAACAGGCGATTATTCATTGATTTCAGTGTACACCACTAAAGAACCGACCCGAGTATCCGACTAGAGTTGAATTTTGTGGAGGCTAGCAATGCCGCTTAGTTGCTCAAAAAGAGATAAGCGAAATGGAGTTAAATCCCCCTTATCCAGATGTCAAAAGTTGAGTGTCTTAATCATCAAATTGTGTTGAAGTCATGTTGAACGATCCTAAAAATAGAGCTATTAAAGTTTTTGATAGTGAAATATCGGAGCGATTAAAAGGAACACACTTTTTATTTGAAGGTATTTCAGATGATTTGGTGAAATAATTCTTGCTATTCTACATAAAATTGAGTTGGGAAATGAAATGTTGATACAGTAATCTATGAACGTACTGAATAAAGAGATAAGCCAAAAATTCGACATGAAATGCTATTACCAACCGCAGACTCTCAATATATTAGGAGGTAGAAACAGTAGTAAAGCAAATAAAATATAATATTAAGTGTCACTGAGAAATTCTTTACCAATGTTTACTTAAATTAAATGAGGGATAAAGGTCCTTCATAATCACTGTCAGTCAAATGTAGTTGTTCGTAAAGTATTTAAACCTGTGGTCGCTATTACCATCATACATGAAATAAATATGATTAATCATCACACCTCCACGAAATAGTACTGTATGTAACTAAGGGTACCAAACGAACAAACTAATTCTGAAAGTAAATTTATGACTGAAAAGCCGATGAGAACTAACTAGTATATGCATAGTAACCACCTATAATCAGTGACATTTAGCAAACTTTATTTTTAAAAGTACTTATTGTGGACATATGGTACATACATTCATCACAAAGTTGCGACGAAATACAGACTTAAAATAAGAGATGTCTTGATGCTCCTCAAAGACAGTACATTTAATACAGATTCACTATGTTTCAATGGAAGTTCTTATTTGTAAACTAGAGACGGATTCGTTTCAGAAAACCCAGCAAGTATCATGACGTTGATATCACAAGCCAATAGCAATTTAGCTAAACTAACCTACCCGCTAAGTTTGACCCTCACAGCCTTTTGCATAGTGGCTCAGGAAGGAGTCAAGCAGATTCAAGACAAAAATATATAAACCGAGATCCCTAGTAGTTTGAACTAAATAAGAAAATAAAATGTTTTAAAAAACGTAAAATTCACTAAGGAGCGCATAAGAAAGATTACCCTCACTAAAGGTAGCAAGATGACAGCCCCACTAGTATCGTCACAATACTCCATATCTTGACCAGGATTATTGAATAGCAAGTTCATGGTGGCGACTGATTTCCATTGACTGATATAACGCCGAATACGCAAAAAATGCAGAAAGTAGAAGAATGTCAGTATTCAATTTAAAAATTCAAAGGTAGTATTGAATAAGCATGTTACGGCATACCATATAACAAGAAACTTACTTATTTCTGGAGCACGATAAAAACGTGAAACAAGATAAGGAGTGATATCATTATCCTGTATAGTAGATGCTGATCCGAAATCAGACAACTTAAGCAGGATTTTGTTTTCATTTACAAGTATGTTATCAGGTTTGATGTCCGCATGCAAAATACCACACTTGCGCATTAGCTTCAAAGCCAACAGAAGCTGCTGAGTGTATGAACGTATAGCAGCGATATGCAGCCCAATGTTACGTCCGTACTTTTTCAAAACTTCGCGAAGATTTAGACTCATTAACTCGAATACCATACATAAATGATTTTTATGGAAAAAGTGACGGTAAAGTCGCAGACAATGAAAACGATCTTGCGGGTCGGCATCATTGAGTTTTTTCAAGACTTCTAATTCCTTTAGCCCTGACTTGTGCCTAAAAATAGGAGCAGATTTAAGTAAATATAGTGAAATTACATGATTGTCAACGTACTGCCAAAGGACCTCAACAACTACATTACATAACTAGTTATGCAATAAATACGGCTACGATGAATTCAGGTTACATTTATTTTATGTTACATGAAAACCCTTAGATTAAATAAAACAGAAACTTACATTACATCGTTGTTTCTTATTATCTTGATCGCCACCTCTAAATTACCCCGAGCACTGTCTCTCGCCCTAACAACGTTAGAAAACACTCCGTGACCAGTATATCCATAAACAGCATAACGCTTATCCAGAACTTCACCAATACGAACACCTGGATATTAGAAATTGTCTTTATAATACTCATCAAAAATGTAAACTGCATATGTTCTTTTTTTACCGAAAAGCACTTACTATCAGAACCCGTGATGAACAAGGTCCTGAATTTATAGATTCTACGACACTAAAAGTGTAAACATATCTAAATTAAGGGTCGGCTACTCATGATACTGTAGTAAACATTAAGAAATGAAGCCACATCAAATTATAAGGGATTCACATGAAAATGTTTCATGAGTTTTAACAACAGTAAGCTCACTATTTTATTTTTATGTGAATTGAGACTATAAAAATAGATAGTAAAAAAAACTACATGTTTATAAACTTACGATAATAACCCTCAGCATCATCCCAGTTGTCAGATAAGGCATGATTTTCAGATGCCATAGCCCCTAATGCCATAGTTCCAGGAGCATGATGCAGCTCAACTTCGAATTCCTCAGCAAACATGTCGAATGTAGAAGGTTTGGAATTGTTTTGTTCAGAGATATTTAGGTCATTTCTTTTTTTATCCTGAAGTGCCATTGCAGCTGGAGCTTGAACACCAGAGAGACGACCACTTGGTGAGCAGGGTTGTTCTAAAATCATAAAATAAAAGATTTATCTGAGAGTAACAATCCAAACGTATTTTACACTGTGGCAGAAAGGTAGGAGTTCTAAACGGCTTACAGTACACATACGTAAAGCAGACTTTTTCGACGGATGAATTATTCAAGCTAGCTTCATTACGGAAATAAGCTGAAGTTAATAAAAATACTGATTTTAACATCTAAACCCATGTGAACAATAAACTGAAAAGATTTTTACGACTACACTTTTAAAGAGAATGGTTGAAAGATATATTATAATCATGTAACTTTAATTCAATTTATCATAATTTTATAATAACAAATCTCTGAAAACTACTCGAAGAAAATATGTGAACAGAACCTGAGAATATTGCAAACGTAGCAAGCGACAGTAGTTAACAATTTGCTGTGAATATAACAAATTTTTAGTACTTATTTTACCCACCTGAATTACTAGTTGGAGCCATTTTAATACATTCTAACTTAGCCTGGACAAAGCTTTCGAAGTCAAAGTCCTCTGTGTCGTCAAATGTACCCATATCCGTTAAACTATCTACCTGAGTAACTTGCGGATTGAGATCGATTTCAGGTTTATTAATTGGGGCTTCTTTACTTTGATTTCCAATTTCTAACTTCTTTAATAAAAAAGACCAGAAAGTTAGACCAATCAAATACTAACTTCCAGTAACTTTTGTCTCTCAATACGTCTTCTTCTGATGATTTCTTCCTCATCTTCTTCATTTTCAACTACTACCAAAGATTTGTCTCTGTACAAAAATAAGGGAAGATTATGACTTACTCGTGGCCTGAGGTGGATTTGTGACTATCTTCGGAGTGTTTCCGAGTCTTGTGAGATTTTCTCTCATGATGAGATCGTTTGGATTCATATGTTTCATAGCTGGGGCTACGGTGTTTAGACTTTTTACGACGACGAATGTAGTCTTCTTGTTGATCGTATGACTTTGGGTATCTATTTCGGTAGTTATTATCATCGTGTTTATCTACATGTCCCGAGTGGTTGCTGGATTCTTGATAATAATAACTAGGACCGTAGTGATAGTCTGATTCCTCTCGATGGGAACGACGTTTCCGATGCTTTTCTTCTCGGTGATTTTTTAGTGAAAGCATAGATAGTCTGAAAGTAAAGACTACTTGATTAAATCGCTAAAAATCTCTAATATGCATAAAAGTCATAAAAACAAATCCCATTAAGGTCACTTTACCATATCATTTCGATTGAGAAAAATCACATACGCAGAACTCATCTTAAGCAAATAACCAGTTTTTGAGGCATTTCTATGGAAACGGAAGTAGTAAAGCTTTTCACTCTTGGGATGTAAAGCTTGTTTGGTTGATGGTTCAAATTCTACCTTAGATTACAATATCTGATAACGGAAATAACAAATTCACTGAATACAAATCCGGTACAACAAGAAACCAAAAATAGAATGTGCCACATAAATGAAGGGATAATATTTTGAAGGGTACATTCGAACAGGTTGGCATAAACAGCTTCAGATTTTACTCACAGCTATCAAAGTACACAAACTTTCCTACTAGTATTAATGGACTACAGAAAGTTGTCGTCATTTCGATAAAAACACTGTATTTATGCATAAAGTACACCATACACCTACAGGCAGTGGTTGGTCACTTACTAAGCACGATTTGTGCAGATTACGCGCTGTTGTATAGTTGAGAGTGAGCAAATTTGTCTGTTGGATTGCAACGGAGTAGAAAGGTAGATGTAAGATCACACTGTCTGTGAACAGGGCATTCGTGGTACTAATACACTCTTCAGACACCTTTCCACACTATACAAAACTAGTGTACAGTTATATCCAACGAAAATCAGGCGGCCGTGATACTAGCAAACAGGTGGCGGTATCCATTTGGCAGAGGAACATACAGTTAATAAATAAATTTTGTTAGTCTTCGGTTTATACAACGAAAACCACAACTTTTGAGAGCTATTTTACTTTAGACAAATAAACAATAGCTACAATGTAGAACTTTGTACGTACGTACATCAATTCAAGTTGTCATACCACAGTCTCAAAAATAGAATGGTCAATTCAAAGCTCATGGTAGTAGATGTAGCAGAAGTAATGACAGTGATCGAAAAGATAAGGGTTTAAAGATTATATTCAAAAAGTATATTCCAGTGAAATAAATTTTCAAAAAGACGGTGGAGATTTCATATTAGAATTTGGGAGAAGACAAAGAATGGATGCACTGAGCTATTGCAAACGATTTTGAGCCATGTCATTTAAGGTCTCTAATCATCGGCTACTAATGTCTCGGGCAGTAGTCTACACACACGAACACGGCTCAGTCGGCTTGTCAGTGACTTTATTGATTCGTGCAATCTTTCAGTTCCGCCACCCACAGCTTTCTTCCATCCTGACCCAACATTAGACAACACCGCTCGTCATAGCATACATAACACATGTCCCAACCACCACAGCTGGTGAAGCTTCACTAATTCATCAATGATCTACCATACTTATTTAGTACCTTTTTCTTGACCCCAGTATTGCTTACTTGGTGGTCCGAAGATTAACGAGCAGTGCTTCTGAGACAGCTATCATCGAATACAAGTAGACTACGTACGTTCTACATTATAAGAGGCTGCTTCACACGTGTAGAGTAGGACGGAAGACTGCTGCACCCGTTCCTTGACGAATATTTAACCTAGCCCACAAGTGACGTAGGTTGGAAAGGGCCAGTAGAGTCGTCTGTATTCACACCGAAATTTCGTCAGTCAGCAATCAGGACTTATGAGCCCCTTCCGATAAGTGGAGCAGTAATGGATGTCCAGTCTCTCAATCCTTAAGTTTGTCGCAGACATACTTTCAGAGTTAACATTATCTTCCTCTGACTTTTTAGGGGTGGACATTCTACCAGGGGACACACTTGTTAACTTAGAATATGTCGATGACATAGTTTTTTTAAGCGAAGACGCTGTAGTTGCCATACCACATCAGCACAGAGACGCAACCGTCAGTTCAAATCCACGAGTGATAGCGATAGTAGAAGTATTAGCAGTAATGGAGAAGATTAGGGAGCGAAGATATGATTCGAGAAGCAAAATTCCGTGAGATAAATTTAGGAGAAAGATACAGATTATGAGGAATTCAGAAAGTTAGAATAAAAAACAGCAAATAAAGAGTGGATGCACCTGCGCCATTGCAAACAATGCTGAGACATGTCGTTCAAAGTCTCTAACCATCGATGACTTTTGTTTCGCGGACCCCAACCAGTTAGCCGACATCTACCAACATGACTCAGTCCACTTGTCAGTAACTTCATGGATTTTTGCCATGCTTTGCTTTCGCCGCCACTAGCTTTTTTCCTACCTACTCCTACACCACAAAACATAGCTCCTATAAGCAGTCGGTGGATAGCTATACGAACCACATGTCCCAACCAGCTCAACTGATGAAGTTTCAATGCTTCATCTATTGAGTTGCGAACTGCTGCGCAGTACACTCGTCGTTTGGTTAACAAGCGGATATCTCGCCTGTGGCATAAATGACGCAGATTGGCAAAAGCCAATCGAGCTTTCTGCATCCATGCCGAGATTGCGTAAACGCCAGGCCATCAGCACTGATGAGACTCCCGAGATAAGTGAAGCGGTCTACACGCTCGACTACTTTACTCCCTATCACTAGTTCCGGTGCTGACGTAAGCCAATCTTGAGGCAACATTCTGCATTTCAAGGGGGAAAACCGCAGCTCAAACATGCTTGCATTGTTCCTTAGGGTAGTCAGAAGACTGCATTTTGTCAGCGTCTTCATCAAGTAGAACCATGTCATCGACATATTCCAAGTCAACCAGTCAATCTCCTGGTAGAAGGTATAGTGAAAATTCAGACGTCGATAATGTTAACTGTAAAAGCATATCTACGACAAAGTTGAACAAGAATGGGGAGAGTGGGAGCTTTTATAAGGTTAATGTACTTCTCTGGTACTCCGTTAATGACAGACTGCCACAGAACCTCACGATCCACAGAGTCAGATGCCGCCTTAAGGTCCAGGAAGACAACTATTGTGGGACCCCTAAATGTGTCTGTGTTCCAGGACCTGTCGTAGTGTGAAGATGTTGTCTACATATCCACGTCCAGGTAGAAAACCAGCCTTATTTTCTCTAGTATGCTCTTCACGAGCTCTAGTTAGGCATCTAAGGACAATCAAGGCTAGCGATTTAAAAGCTACATTAGTTAGACTGATTCCCCTGTGACTGCCATATGAGGACTTTTACCTTTTATTATGAATTGGAACAATCAGCAATTGAGACAAGTCGGATAGGATTACGCCTAGTTCCCAGATCCTGCTTAGGATCTCAGTCAATCTAACTGTTAAAACTGGACCCCCATCCTTAAGAGTCTCAGGGGCAAGCCTATCAGTGCCCGATGCTCTACCTCGCTCTAGATCTATAGCTTTTTCAACTTCACACAGACTCGGAGGACTTATATCGATTTGCCATTCAGGATGACTGGAGACCGTGGGCAACCAAATTGTGGCTGAAGGCCAGTTGGACTAATCCCTGAAGTATTCTGCCCATCGATCCAGTCTTCTGGGTTGAGAATGAATAAGACCATGCTTTTCTGAGACAGTTTGTATAACAGATGGGTTTCTAATACCGGTTTCCTGAGGAAGAGGAGCAACACTTAAGAATGCGTGATCTGTCTGCAAAAGTACACTACTTTTTTACTTTACATTTACTCGTTATAGCCATAATAACATGAATAATGATGTGTGAAGTTGGATCAGGCCGGTGATTTTTAATTGTTTCGACTAGATACGTTTCGAACCAACTGTACCCCCAAATTTCTGACACCCAATAAAATAATTAGACATACACTTTTGTGGGAACGATTGCTTGCAACTGAGATTTTTAAATCACTATTAATTGCTCATGTAGTTGTTACAACTACTGAAAAATAAGTCATTAGGGACGTCCGCAACGAACTCATGTAACTGTTTTCAGACCAGACTTCTATACTAATATGGATAAAACTCTGGGAAACTAACGTGTTTAACCAGCTGAAGGGAGAATATTATGTTTCACACTGACAACATGAAACCTGTTGTCATGTGTTATTGTCAGGTATCTAACAAGATACCCGTAATTCTCGGCAGAAATGGCAGTTAGGGTGTCAAAGCAAAAGTGGTGTTTGGAGGTAGCAGCACCTTAACATAAAAACTGAGTCAGTATCGAGAGCCCTTACTGAAATCTTATAGATGGGTGGTACTTCCGTTACCTAAGCAACACAGTATGACATGGTTGCTCGTCAAATGATATCAACAAAAAAGGACTAGCACTAGTTAGACAAAATACAGACCGTGGTTAGAAGACAGACTTCAAGGACAATCAGATACAAACTACTCTTTGAACATAAACCTACATTAGATACAAATTCGACATAACCACACCCCTGTAACATTTGAAGATAATGATCATCATGGGTGAAAATAGAACAAGTATTATAGTTACCGCCTTAACCATTCATACATACCGTCCTGAATTGCTTTAGTACATATACTGACCTCAGTGTGGAGTAGTTTATCAGGATTTATGATGTATGCAATGAGGTTGAAAATACAACAGGGTGAGTACGCCTTATTCGGTTAAAATACTTCAGTAAATGGTTTAATAACACTTTAGTCGATCAATTTCACTTAGAAGAAGAATATTATGCCTAAATTTGAAAAAAGTTGCATATTTGTAGTTTTTGCTTAAAATTTGATTTCCGGGATAGTCGGTATGCAGATCTGAGTTTAATTAAGTAAGTATCTAAATTAGTTAAGTACCACACAAATTGGAAGGCAGTTGAAGTAGCTTATTCTACACGTAGAAACCAGCGAAAAATACCTTACCTGGCAGAATCCTCCATTGTCAAAAGAAGCACGTAAACGCAGTTAGATAATTACATTAAAACAAAGTCGGAGAAACACTGTGTGATCTCCTCGATCAACAGTCCGAACTTTCTGTATTTGTGAATTCATTGCCGGAACTAATGTCAGTGTTTAGAAGCTCTATTTTTTATACTCTAAAATACCTCTTCACAATATCTATATATTGTTGTTGCGTATGCGAAAGAAGAGCTATGTCATCTGCGAAGTCCAAATCATCCAGCTATATTCCAACTGTTCACTGTACACCGGACTTCCCCCCAGATGTTGACGTCTTCAAAATCCAGGCAATCATCTTAGGGAAAGAAAAAGGGCGAGAGTAAGCAACCTTGCCTGACCACTGGTCTTCACCTCAAACGAGTCTGTCAGCTGTCCTCCGTGCACGATTTTGCAGTTCAGTCCATCACGAGAATTCTGTATGATTTTCACTATCTTATCAGGCACGCGATAGTGTCGAAGAAGCCTCCATAGTAATGCCTGTCCATGTTATCAAGTACTTTCTCGTAGTCAATGAAGTTGATATATAGTGGTGAGTTCCATTCAGTTGATTGTTCCACAATGATCTGTAATTTTGCCATTTGGTCAGCAGACGATCGATCCTTACGGAATCCAGCCCCTTGATCTCAAAGTCGGGCGTCTACGAAGTCGTTTGTTCTGTTTAACAACACCTTGTTGAAGACTTTGCCTGGTATCGAGAGAATAGTGATTCCTCTGTAGTTCTCACACTTACTGACCTCTCCTTTCTTTGGTATTTTGATGAGGTATCCTTCTTTTCAGTCTGATGGTGCTTGTTCGTCATCCCAATTCTTGTTGAAAAGTATGGAATATTTTTGCAGTTACTGTTACTGCTTTGATTGCCTCTGCTGTAATGCTGTCTGGTTCCGCTGATTTTCTGCGCTTGATTTGTCTGATGGCCATGCTAATCTCTTCAACTGGGGGTTCTTTGGATGCTGCTTCGATGTTGGGTGGGTTCAGTGGGGCTGGTCTATGCAAGAGTTTATTAAATTTCTCTACCTACCTGTTTCGCTGCTCTTCAGTGTTGATGATTACTTTGCCTTCCTTGCTTTTCACTGGTCGTTCTGGTTTATGATAGTTTCCAGCGAGCTTCTTTGTTGTATCGTACAATTGTCTCATTTTTCCTTCTCTTGCAACCTTTTCTGCCTTCATTGCTCAATCTTGCACATATTTTCGTTTGTCGGCTCTGATGCTCCTCTCCACTTGCCTGTGTGCTTCTATGTATTCAGCTTGTGCCTTGGACTTTTATTCTCTTGTTCGGTTGATGTTGACTTCTGCCTTCTTGTTCCTCCTTTATTGAATTTGTTGATCAGCAAGTGGTGATCTGAGGCTATATCAGCTCCTCTCTTGATTCTCACGTTCTCCATGATCCTTTTGAACTATTGATTGTTACAGATATGGTCGATTTGGTGAAATCCATGTAGACTTGTGCATGAGTTTGTGTGGGAATATTGTGCCACTGATGACTAGTTATTTACAGGCGAATCTCTCACCACTTTCGTTCGTTTCTCCAAGACCATGATGTCCTCATATCCAGTGTTCCCTTGCCAACCTTGGCATTTATGTCTCGCATCAGAATGGTCAAATCCTTTGATGAGCATCTATCGACTATTGACTGCAGTCTTTCGTAGAATTGATCTTTAACGTCTTCATTGTAATCGTTGATAGGTGAATATCGTCGGGTGACGTTCATAGTAATGTCCTCTTTCTTTGTTTTGAAGGATGCCTTGATGATCCTGGGTCCATGAGATTCCCATCCTATCCGTTCCTTTTGTGCTTGTTTAGACAGCATCAGTGCAACTCCTTGTGTGTGAGGCGTTTTTCTCTTCATGTGTGGAGTATAATAACAGCTCTCCTGAAGCTAGTCTCACTTGTCCTACCTGCGTCCAGTGCGTTTCATTGATTCCAAACACCTCCAGGTTGTATCTTTTCATCTCTACAGCAACTTGGAATAGTCTTTCAGTCTCTCGCAATGTTCGGACACTCCATGTACCTGAAAGAATGTTTGTGAGAAGGAGCATCGGCCTCGTGACTTCTGAGGGAACTCAGCTTTCATCATGATACGTCATAACTCTTATGAACGGAAACCTTCTAACTACCAGGGCAGAGTTAAAATGGTTTGAATTGATTTTTATGGTTAGCGTATTTTAGCGGCTTAGTATTCTACAGGATGGGGTTGGCGACCTCATCCACAACCCATCTCCTTTATCCGGGCTTGGGGCCGACAGTAGCCATAGAGGGGTTTCACGCAGTATTGTATGACTTAAAATGGAAATGGAAAATGATTCGAACTTCCATTTTACTGGTTAGAGACCGAGTTTTTCAATCATTAGTCCACCACTATTATACGCCGGTCAAATCTATTTCGTATGACATTTTGAAGTAATGTTTTACAGTTTTTTCATGAGGTAATGTTGCTTATCTCCACTCCATTGCTCACTGTACAACAACAATAAATCCATTAAAAAATCATTCTTAAATCCTTAGAGATTTTGTGTTCTCATTATTGTTAGGCAATTACAGCGTTTTTAGATTACTAGGTGTTTGGTATATCCATTATCCGAACTTAGTATTGACCTGTGGTGTAACACAATTAATCTTATTTTCGTTCATTTGAAAACCTTATACGTTTTTACGGAAATGGAAATATAGTAAAAGAATTTTAGGCCAGTCACATAAGATGGAGAGAAAAAGACTGATCATTTTGTACAGAAAAATGTAATTTTAGTTTAATTTATACCGGATTTGATATTTAAAATTTTGATTTGAAATTTTTGACTGAATGCTACTCAGTCTTCGTTAGCAGCCTGCGCAAAACACCTCGATATGACCATTATGTCACAAGTTTCTATAGAATATACGGAATGTGGCTAGAGATGGGACCTAGGGTTCTCGTTACGTCTTATTTTGGACTTGTCAGCTGGATGTACATGAATCCCAGAAGTATAGCTCAGTAACCGTTCAAAACTCAGTCAAAATATAATCCAGGACGTTACAAATTACATCAAAAATTCATACCCGTTTCGCAAGTGAGTGACTACGTAAACTCATTAGCTAAGTGGATAGCGTAACGGCGTTTAAAGCGAAAGATCCTTACTTCAAGACCCGGAACGAACATCAACTCGTCCAGATAGTTTAATCTGACGAGTTTTAAATTGGACATAACGCTTCTTTCGGATTACACTACTTGCCGAATCCCGTCTTTTCTATGTAAAATACATTTGTTTAGCTATATTTCTCATATTTTAATGTTGGTCATTTCCGTTGTTTTTCAAAAATTTGATTCAATTTTAGGCTGAAAATATATATAATGACAATGAAATAGAGATGGGAAATCCTGAACTTGAACAGCATTCTTAGTTCGCTATTGTTAACCCATTTTCCGTTTTATGTTTTCGCATATTTCCTGTATGTTCTGTTTATGTTGTGTATATAAGATGCAGTAAGAAATAAATATCAAGTTTTGTGTTTTATTCACACTATTGGTCTTCTGCTTATTCGTCTGTTGAATAAATCGAGAACAGCTAAAGGTGGAGGTTTGAGTGAAACTAATCGTAGATTCGACTCATTTACTGAAACGCGATTCCACAATCTAATATCCTCGTGACGAGCTATAAAGTACTAGTTGATTTCCTTACGTTTGCATTTTTTTGATGTCACAAAAATGCCTCACGTATTCGGTAGCGGCAGTGGGGTCAACCGAATCTCCAAACAACAGGAAGACCTATATTAAGCCCAATAAACACTATTTGTAACCCGTCTTGGTCATATTTTGGTTCCTTCATTACCCTGTTACTAAAAATGTAAACAGAAGACAATATGAACAGATAGACTATTGTCAGCCATAGGAACAAATTCTCTGCTTCAAATCCCATTTAATACTGTAATCAGCATCATCCGCTACTACAATTCTTTTTTATGGTTAAAGTGTCAGAATATGGATTCCAAACATTAATTCGCTTATTTTCAAGGTTTAGCTGTCTTGCGGGTTTCAGACCTCTTCAAAAAGTTGGGCGCCTTGATATAGTGATGATGACTGGTGACTTGAATGCTCAAGTAGGTAGACTGCGTGAAAATGAAAGACACGTGGGTGGATCTTATGGTGTCACGGCTCAGAGAACAGATAATGGCGACCGCCTGTTGCAACTATGCTCAGATAACCGTCTATTTCTAGCAAACTCTAACTTTGGGCATAAGGAATAGCATCTTTTGACCCGGAGACCTCCAGAGTTCTCTCAACGCTAGACCCAACTAGATCACATGGCCAACAGCCACCGATGGAGAGGTTTGATAGAGGACTGTCGCTCGTTCTGGTGCACATATATAGATTTAGATCATACTATAGAGCGAGATAGGCAGTGATGTAAGTAATGCCTACCCTGAGGCAGCTTGGAATGATATCCAAAGTCTGTGGGAACAGAAATGATACATGCTAGTAAGGTAAACCATCAAGCTAGAAAGAGGCCGTGGTTTCCAGTAGATCGAAAACGTATCCCGTCTGACTGTGAACATGACGAAGAGCGAAGCCAGCTTAAGCCCACGCAATAATCCAGAGCAGTGGTGGGTAGCGAAAGCGAGAGAGATGAAAAGGCAGTGGCTATAGGTAATAGTAGACAACTACTCAGACTTATCGAGGAAACCGGTATTCGGGATCCGAATGCAAGTGAGACTATTTCGGGAAAGCATGGTCTTATGATTCATTCTCAATCCGAAAGATTGGGTCGACGGGCACAGCGCTTTAGGAGTAAGCTCAATTAGCCTTCGGCAACATTTCGGTTGCGCACGATCACCAGTTAACCTGAAAGGCAAATCGACGTAAGTGTAAGACCCATTTTTGAAGGCTTTGTTTGTGAAAATCCCTACATATATACATTTGTAATTTTTCCTTATTGATTCCTTCAGTTGTACATTTCGTTAGTCTGTTCGATTCTATCTGAGATGGTGATATTTGTATTTTTGTCATAGT